TTAAACTATTTAGTGAAGAAGTAAAAATTTGACACAAAACTTTACCTCTTGACAAGTCTTCATAACAACAGCAGTTCGAGAAATCAAGTCAGCTGCCTGTTGCCTAACTTTTGCAGATTTGTTATTTAAACGCCACAAAACTGTACCACAGATCTGAGGCAAGTATGGTTTGACTCGTTTGCCAAGAGCATTCACCACTGTGCCAAAGCCATTCAACATTACTGAGTCCTAAAATAAATAAATAAAAAGACACAATCATTTGGTTTCTTTATGACTACACAGTTGAAATATACTAATAGTCAATCTTTTTCAACCACCAAAACATCTGTTGTTTTTTTACATCAAATCTTAAAACTTGAGATAGAATATTTTTTTGGTATCCAAGAACAGGAGCATTTTAAAAATTACTTCAAATACAATTGCATTTTAGAAAAATTTGCTTGACAAGTAATATGCTTCTTCTAAAAATATGAAAGTCAGTGGCAGTGTGCCATAATAATTAGTTATCATTACCTCTGTAGTCTGTTCTTGGAAAGCATAAAGAATACCATCAATCAGTTGTTCTTCAAGTTTATGATCAATATCTGCTGCTCCCAAATTGCCCATAATTTTCTCAATTGTCTCCATCACCATTTTTCTGTACTGTTCGGCTTCATCCTTCAGATCATCCACAATCCTGGATATAATTTCTGCTGCACCTACTTTGTTTGCCAACTCCACAGTAGTATCAACTAACTAAAAAAACAAAAAAAACAACAACAAAAAAAAAACACCTCTTTTAGACTGCTTTTCCAAGGAAACAAAGCAACATCATAAAAACCAAATACTCTAAATGTATTATTTAGCTAGTAAACATACCATGAATGATTCATTGCTATTTATTAAAGTTGAAGAGAAAAGTGACCAAACAATTTAAGAATGAGTATAAGCTAACGTGATTCAAGGTAGGTAAACTGTATCCATGTTTCACCTAGCCAGATAAAGCACTGGATTTACCAGACAAAAACATCAATTCACAGTTGAGTATTGATCCTTGAATGCCAAGTCAAAATGGAAGTTAACCAGCTGACTAAAATCCACCTCCTTTCTTTTTTTTTTTTTTTTTTTTTTTTAAAGACGGAGTTTCGCTCTTGTTACCCAGGCTGGAGTGCAATGGTGTGATCTGGGCTCACTGCAACCTCCGCCTCCTGGGTTCAGGCAATTCTCCTGCCTCAGCCTCCTGAGTAGCTGGGATTACAGGCACGCGCCACCGTGCCCAGCTAATTTTTTGTATTTTTAGTAGAGACGAGGTTTCACCATGTTGACCAGAATGGTCTCGATCTCTTGACCTCGTGATCCACCCGCCTCGGCCTCCCAAAGTGCTGGGATTACAGGCGTGAGCCACCGCACCCGGCCTCCACCTCCTTTCATAATCAAGCACATATGAACTGTGAGATAATCAAAGCAAAAAAATAATATGCAACATGGATTCAACGAAATAAAAAATGAGTATAAAGGATTTTTGAGAATATTTTTTTTACAATAAAAGCTTACCTGTCGGTAATTTCTTCTATCCAAAGCCATCCTGTGCTGCCAGAAGTGTTTAAAAAATGGAGGAAGAATCTCTGTTTTAATATAGTTTGCTTCTACACCATCTGTCCCACAACACTGTTTTACCACCTAAAAGGTTAAAAAAACAGTAATAATAAATCAACTGACCTGAAATGAAGAGAATACTCATTGCTGATTACTTGATATTGAAAAATAAAATTTAAAACAAATCAAACAGTACTGGTGTAACATACAGTTTTCTTTTGCTGTTGTTTTTTAAAAAAACACTTTAAAATTATCTAAGAACCATTAAACAAACCCGGTTTACGTTAACAAATTTGGAATAAATACCTTCAGCACAATTTTCTTCATTTCCTCATCAGGAGATTGGAATTCTCGAATAAGGATTAACATCACTTCTCTAGTATAGTAGTTGGCATATTCTGCATCCATGAGAGGAATAAGATACCCAATAGCCTTTAAGAAAGCAGCTAAACCCTGTTTTTAAATAAAAAATAAATGTAGTTTAGTAATTTAGATTTATGTCACCTTAATGAAGAGAAATCAAAAAGTAATTGGTGGATTTACCTTTCCTCTGTGTTGGCGGATACCCTTCCATAAAGGCTTTAAGACAGAATCAAAAGATTCGATACCATAAGGAGTTGCTGCTTCAGCCAAGGCAGCAATGGCCAAAGCACTGATGGTCCGAACCTTCTGCTGCTCATCCACAAGACCTACAAAACCAAACACAGGTTTTAACTATGCACCAACATTACCTAAGTTATACAATATCATCCAGATTCTTGCACTATATCAACTATTTAGCTAAACTGCAGAATGTGCTCACATTAGACAAAATTAGGTAAAAGCAAATATGAACCACAGCCTGTTAGCAGATAACATTACAAACCCATAAAATATATAGTTTGTACAGTTACGCCCTTCCATTTATCTCCCCAAATCAGTAGCCCAAATTTTAGGACAGCTGTCCTATTAAATGTAGACAGGCTTTTGTGTGTACCTCTAGTCCCAGCTACTCAGGAGGCTGAGGCAGGAGGATCACTTGAGCCCAGAAGTTTGAGTCCAGTCTGGGCAACATAGTAAAGACCTTACCTCTTAAAGAGAAAAAAAAGACAAAGTTACATTGCAACTTACCATGTTCAATGATTTCAACTAAACTTCTAAGATGCGGCAAGATGGCACAGCCCATAAGAATAGCTATCTGTTGTACAATCTTAATACCAGTGTGTCTTGCTTGCCAGGACTTCTTGCTTTTGCACACAGCTTTTAAGAAGGGCAATAAAGAAGGAATGCCCAGGGCAGAGGCCACAACAGCAAAAGCTCGAGCTGTTGTGTTACGGACATACTCATCCATGTTATCTATATCAGGTCTCATGGTAGAGATCATAGTAGCCAGACCAGCAGCCTAAAAAGTAAAGAAAAAAGGAACAGTCATGAGTTGCCAATATTAATGTTCAACCATTTCCTTCCATAATCAAATAATTCCACAAACAGATAAAAATTTTCTTCTCTAGAAATTTAATGTAAATACCTTTGCCAAATTAGAAATGATCTCTCGGCCTTCCACTCTAGCATAGTAATCTTCATCAATCAATAGCGGTTCAATGACCACGAGGATCTGAAAAAGAAAAAAAAAAGAGAAGAAGCTACACTTTGACATCAATTACTGATGTTTTTAAAAAAATAACTTATGGCCAGGTGCGGTGGCTAACACCTGTAATCCCACCACTTTGAGTGGGTGGATCGCCTGAGGTCAGGAGTTCAAGATCAGCCTGGCCAACATGGTGAAACCCCACCTCTACTAAAAATAAAAAAATTATCCAGGCATGGTGGCAGGCGCTTGTAATCCCAGCTACTTGGGAGGGAGAATCGCTTGAACCTGGGAGGTGGAGGTTGCAGTGAACCAAGATTGCGCCACTGCACTCTAGCCTGGGTGACACAGCAAAACTTCGACTCAAAAAAATAATTTATACACCCTATGAACATACTGTACCATAATTACCATCAGTAAAAACACTGGTTCTTAACACTAAATGGCATAATACAGAATCACATGTTCTTATCCTAATCTCAATAAAAGCAAATGAAAAAACAGTATGAACCTCTTATGACAAAGGTAACAAAAACTTACATGTGTACATCTGTATGTACATTTATTCTGTATATAATTGTATTTGTACATGTATGACGTGTAGTTGTGCAAAAAAAAAAGGTCTAGGAGGATATGTAAATTTAACATTAACTGAAAAAGTTAAAATATTAAAGCATCAGGAACACTATTAAGGAGAACAAACCTTATGCACATATGGACGAACCAAGTCATCAAGTTTGTACAGTATCCTGTCAATAACTTTCACAAGTAAATGACGCTCTTGATCCTCAAGTGTAGGAGACATCAGTAGAGGAAGAATCTGATTAAACAAAGGACCAGCTCCAAATTCACGAGCTTTATCAGTAATCTGACGCAACGCAGCCTGGGAAAAAAAGCAGAATAAAAGGTGTGAATGCTTTATAATCAAGCATTTTGAATGCACAAATTACTCAAAGATTTTCTATAATTTAGTATTTTAGTGTATACTTTTACACACATTTTACATAGACTGCATGAGTTCATTTCCTTCCAAATTACTCCGGAATTTGAACTCCTGTGATAGAAATTTTATGTCAATTCATAAGGGTAATTTAATAGAACAAAAGGACCACAGAGCTATGTACTAAATGCTTTCATTTCCCCTAAAGTATCTTCCATTTCCAAGGCACATATAGTATTAATAATTCCTTATATAATTTTAATTATCTTCAAGCTTTAAGCATATTTTAAGGCCTTGAGGGCAAAAAGAGAGTCTCATTTTTCAGCATCTTTATTAGCACAAAATTCTTTGATTAAAAAAGATAGCTCCAGCAGGGCATAGTGGCTCACGCCTGTAATCTAGCACTTTGGGAGACAGAGGCAGGAGGATCGCTTGAGCCCAGGAGTAAGACCAGCCTGGGCAATAAAGTGAGACCCCATCTCTATTTAAATAATAAAAAACGGCGAAGCACAGTGTCTCACACCTGTAATCCCAGCACTTTGGGAGGCCAAGGCAGGTGAACCACTTGAGGCCAGAAGTTCAAGACCAGCCTGGCTAACATGGTGAAACCCTGTCTCTACTAAAAATACAAAAGTCGGCAGGGCGTTGTGGCGCACACCTGTAGTCCCAGCTACTTGGGATGCTGAGGCAGGAGAACTGCTTGAACCCAAGAGGTGGAGGTTGTAGTGAGCCAAGATTGCACACTACACTCCAGCCTGGGCAACAGAGCAAGACCCTGTCTCAAAAGTACATATATATAATAACAACAAGCAAAAAAGTTAAATCCTTCACACTACATACAGTTCTTTCCCTTACACTATGTCCTTGATAAAGATGAAGCAAGAGTAATTATAAATTCCTAAACATAAAAATATAGCACTACCAAAAGTTAATTTCTTTGCAGGCAAGGCTTCCTAAATAACCTTTACCAATTTGGGCTATTTGGGAGAGTAAGGAAAGGCCATACTCCACAGTGGGCTATACCAATAGCTCACTACTATTTTGTGGACTACATTTCCTGGTGAAAAAATTTAAAAATTAAAAACATTTTTAAAAATATAAACATGGCCAGGTTCAGTGGCTTACACCTGTAATCCCAGCACTTTGGGAGGTAGGCCGAGGCAGGAGGATCACTTGAAACCAGCCTGGGCAATTTGGCAAAACCCTGTCTCTACAAAAACTACAAAAATTTGTTTTTAATTACATAAGCAACAAACATGACAACTTAACAAACTGAGACTTACCTTTCTCATTGGTGGTGTTCCATTCTTAATTTTTAAAAGTAACTTCATTATTTTTCTCTCTTTTTGCTCTTCTGGACTAAGTGTAGATTCATCAACATCAACCTATAGTAAAAAGAAAACAAATGTTAAGGCAAATTGAAATGTTATGATTTATAATTCTGGAACACAATGTAATAGTTTATTTCTGCTAGCAATACTTACCAGTAATTTATCAAAGTACTGAATATCATCAGGTTTTAAAAATGGAAGATTTCCAGATGGCTGGTCATTAACACTTTTCATAGTTCGATCTTCAGTTTGCATGTGAAAACCAGTCATACCACCCAAAGGTGTCGGAGTAGCTGTCAGCTTTCGAGCTGGAGTTCGAATAGGAACATAACCAGCTGGAGGAGGAAGTACCTAATAAAAGTTATAAGACATTTTAGAATTATCTTAACTTGAAAAACATTTGCACTTAAAATATTTTACAGTTTATTAGTTAGAAGGTTTTTATTTGCTTGGAGACAACACCTATCTTGCTTTTCTAATGTAATTAGAAACTTAAAATACATGCTTCTCATCTGTTGATTATATCAGCTGTATAGGGAACTGAGGAAATACAAGAGAAGAGCTTAGAAAACACTAATCACGTTCAAACATGTTGTGGGTCAAAATGTCAAATTATTAAAAATTTGAAAATAAAATCTGAGTCAGCAATTCCAAAAAATGCTCTAGTAAAGCAAATAACGTTTAATAAGTATTTATATAACTGGAAATAAGCTCATACGGTGTATACAACATATAAAGAGCTATATTTTAGTATTAAAATATCACATAAATTTCTGCACTCTAAAAACAAATCTTTTAAGGTAAAACTCATAAAAACTAAAACCAAAATGTTTACCAAAGCCCTGTAAAATATACCACCTAATTAAACCTTTTGCAAAACCAGTAAAATTTCAAAAACTATTGGCTAAAAATCACAAATAATTTTTTTTTTAAGCTGGTAACAGACTTAAAAAAAAAATTACAACTTCTGGTCAGGCCAGGTGTGGTGGCTCATGCCTGTAATCCCAGCACTTTAGGAGGCTGAGATGGGAGGAACACTTGAGCCCAGGAGTTTGAGAACAGCCTGGACAACAAGGCGAGACCCCATCTCTATTTTATATAATTTGATATATATAAAATATCTGCAAAATACAGATATTTTTCGTTGCTAGTTAATGTCTGCACCAGCACAGACCACTAAGCATTCTGAATAAAGTGGATACTCTATAGATGTGAAGCCTAGAAAAATCAGTTTCAAGTCCACAGAAATCACTCGCCATTAAGAATTTAAAGGTCTCCTATATTTTTATATTCATTAGTAAGGATGTTGCTTTTTAGGAGGATTCACACTAAGGGAGACTTTTCCTCCTAGTGACACTAAGGAAATCAATGACTATGACTGAGAAAGAAGCTCAGGCAGTCAACAGTAGGTTATATCTATACCCACAGCATTATGTGGAGTCTACAAAAAGCTTTTAAGCAAAAATTCATGCAAACTTGAAACACATACTTAGCAAAAATAACAGGGGATCAAAAACAAAACAAGTCTGGGGACAGTGGCTCATGCCTATAATCCCAGCACTTCAGGAGGCCAAAGTGAGAGGACAGTTTGAGCCTAGGAGTTTGAGACCAACCTAGCCAACACACTGAGATTCCATCGCTACAAAAAAAAATTAAAATTAGCCAGGTGTGGAGGTGCATGCCTGTAGCCGCAGCTAACTCAGGAGGCTGAGGCAGGAGGATAATTTGAGCCCAGGAGTTCGATGCTACAATGAGCTATGTCAATGCCACTGCTCTCCAGTATGGGCAACAGAGTGAGACCCTGTCTCTAAAACAAAACAAAACAAAACCAAAAAAAAAAAAAACACACACAAACTGTTAAAAATCAACAGCCATTAACAGAAAAAGCTCTGTAAAGGCCATCAGATGATTTACAAAGTCATCTGGTTTCTCTGGTTATAATCTCAGCTATACGACCACAGACTACCTTTAGACTAACAAATACTCCCTAAGTGTCAGCTACCTAGAAAATTTTATAGTTCAAAATAAATTTCAAGTTGATATGGCAAAAAGAACGCTGGGCATGGTGGCTCACGTCTGTAATCCCAGCACTTTGGGAGGCTGAGAAGGGCAGATCACCTGAGGTCAGGAGTTCAAGACCAGCCTGGCTAACATGGCAAAACCCCATCTCTACTAAAAATATAAAAATCAGCTGGACATGGTGGCACACGCCTATAATCCCAGCTACTCAGGAGGTGGACGCAAGAGAACGACTGGAACCCAGGCAGCAGAGACTATGCCACTGCACTCCAGCCTGGGCAACAGAGTGAGACTCCATCTAAAAAAAAAAAAACCCACCACCACCACCAAAAAAAACAAGAATATTCTTTGTGTCCACTGATAATCCATAAACTTAAGGACACAAAATCTTGGTAAAACACCAAGAAAAAAAAACCACAATCTAAAGGAGTTTATTCCTGGGACTGATGGAAAACTGAAGCAGCAGCAGTTCTCAAAGTCTAACCAATAGTCCTTGAGATTTCTTTCAAAAATTAATTTCTTGTTGTTCATTTCTTTTCATCTCTCTTTGGAACTGAAACATACTTGGAAATACCTAAGAGAATGGAATGACAATACTAAATTTGGGCAAAGCCAATGCAACCTTGATCAATTTTTTTTTACTATTTAAAATAAATGCATATCCTAAATACAACCTCATTCATATTTGATGTACTACCTTATATCCTTCTGGGAACATTGCATCTAATTCTTCATCAGAAAGTGGGCGATTTCTCTCATCAATTTCTCTTTCCCACCGCCAAGCCTGAAGCTGTTCAGGAGTCATACTCATTATGTGACCTACCAAGAAAAGCAAATTTTTATACAATCTATAGTGCAACACTGTATTATTACATATATCTTTGAGATAAAAGAGCATTAAGACCAACCCTAACATTTAGTTGCTTTTATATTATAAATGCAAACCAAGACTTATTTTTTTATCTCCTTATTCTAGCTAGTAATTGACATTAATAGCACACAGAATACCATAAAGAAAAAATTAAATAATTTGTAGAGGAAAAAACAATTATTTTCAATGAGAGAGTTTCTACCTGGAGTAGGGGTAGCCATGTTCATGGCTGGTGTGCCAATTGGTGTTTTTCCAGGGGTCAGAACTGGAGTGCTTCCACCCATCTGACTAGCTGGTGTTTCATCCCACCGTGATTTTCTTTTACTGGCTCCAGGAGTCGGTGTTTCACCAATAGAATCTCCACCTCGATCTGTTCGAGGAGTCTCAGCCCATCCACTTCCATGCCCAGGAGTGTCTTTAAAAAGAAAGAGTGAGTAAGACCACAATTTTAATCACTGTTAAAATAATATTTTTTATTCTCAGTTATAATCAAATCTATTAAGTTCTAAAATAGAATATTCCTTATTTAAATTTCTAGTGTTCCATTTCAAATTTATATATACCTTTTCACACTCTTGTGTGTATACATGTTTCTTTTCCGTGGGTTACAAAAACAGACAGTAACTACTACGAAACAGGAAGAGAGCAAAGTCATTTTTTAACTATCCTTAACATTATTACACAGAGATATCTGCTATGTGTATCTCAAGCTACTTCCTTCATTTCTCCATACAGTTGAGGTGACACTGCATGTGCAGTTCTACACTGCTTCTTTCCTTCTTTACATATTAAGCACTACTCCATTACCATTAAAAGTTCACAAAATTTTAATACAGCAGATGTATAGTTAAATCCTAATTTACCTCAACTGTTCTTATAAACAGTTAAGGAAATAAAGCTTTTGACCACCTACACAAAAAAGTAAGAGGTTTAGGTAAATTCAGAGAGACAGAGCACAGAATGGAGGCCAGCAGGGGCTGGGAAGAAAAGGGAATGGGAAGGCCCTGTTCAATGGATACAGGTTTTTCTGTTTGGGATGATGAAAAAAATCCTAACAATGAAGTAGTGATAGTGCAAAATGCGGTGAATGTACTTGGTGCCACTGAACCATATGCTTAAAAATGATTGGCTGGGAATGGTGGCTCACGCCTGTAATCTCAGTACTTCGGGAGGATGAGGCAGGCGGATCACCTGAGGTTGGGAGTTCGGGACTAGCCTGACAAACATGGAGAAACCCTGTCTCTACTAAAAATACAAAATTTGCCAGACATTATGACACATCCTGTAATCCCAGCTACTCGGGAGGTTGAGGCAGGAGAATCATTTAAACCTGGCGGGTGGAGGTTGCAGTGAGCCAAGATGGCGCCACTGTACTCCAGCTGGTCAACAAGAGTGAAACTCCATCTCAAAAACAAAACAAAACAAAAAAATGGTTAGTATTATGTAAGTATTAACTGAAAATAAGTAAATAAATGGTTAAAAATAGTACATTTGGCCGGGCACACTGGTTCATGCCTGTAATCCCAACACTTTAGGAGGCCGAGGTGGGCCAATCATGACGTCAGGAGTTTGAGATCAGCCTGCCAACATGGTGTAATCCCATCCCTAATAAAATTACAAAAATTATCCAGGTGTGGTGTCACGTACCTGTAATCCCAGCTACTCAGGAGGCTGAGGCAGGAGAATCACTTGAGCCCAGGAGGCAGAGGCTGCAGTGAGCCAAGATTGTGCCACTGCACTCCAGCCTGGGCAACAGAGCGAGACTCCATCACAAAAAAAAAAAAAAAAGTAAATTTGATGTTAGGTATTTTTCCATAATAAAAAAAGCGTAGGC